TAATGATAAATCAAATCTTTTCATAAAAGAACTAATCCAAGAAAGATTCCCTTGAAATTCATATTCTCCTGTTGAATATAATGTTTTGATTGCAGGTTCTTTAAGAATTTTACACATTTGTAATCTTATTGAAATGTAATTAATGGCCAAACCCTTCTTCCTTTGTTCAATAATCCAGTTGTATAAAAGTTTTTCTGCTTTAGGATACAAAGCTTTTCTTACTGATCCAATACGTTTTTTCTTTTTATTTTCTTTTTCAATTCATTGTTTTTTTAACCCACCTTCCAATCATTGAACCATTTAAATCAAAGTGGTTTGCTGCAGCATTTCTTCCATTTTTTTGAGCGTATTTAATTACTGTTAATTTTTCCTTGATAGAATATGATGTTCGCTTTGTTGTACTCACTTTTTTACTAGTCATTTTTTTGTAGCAAGTCAGGTAAAGTGGTAGATGGTAGATACGAAAAAAAATTCAAAAAACTTTTTTTTATTGTAGGTGAAGTAGCAGACGGTAGACACGAAAAAAAATTATTTTTTTTTTATTGTAGTGAAGTAGAAAACGGTAGACACGAGCAAAAAAGTTCAAAAAACTTTTTTATTGTAGGTGAAGTGGCAGACAGTAGATACGAAAAAAAAAACCTTTTTTATCGCAGGTGACGGTAGATACGAAAAAAATTTTAAACTGTTTTTATTGTAAATGTCGGGTGGTAATACAAAAAAAATAATTTCAACTTTTTTTTTATAACAAACGGGTATTATATGAAGAAAAAAAAAATTAAAAATTTTCTTTCATAGTGGATAACAGATGGATGGATGGTAAGTATGAATTTTTTTTCTTAAATTTTTTCTTTATAACTGATCGCGATAATTTTTTTTTTATGACGGATCAGGTGATAATTTAAATCACCAGTTTTGTCGATCACATGACTGCAATTAATTTCAAGATTTTATGGTATTAGTATAAGTTAAAATAAGGCATATAACAATGGCCGGTCGTTGGCGTTACACGAATCGCCTAAAAAAAATTTTTTTTTGTCGCTCAAAGGTCCAGAAATCCGGTTCACACTAATAAAATCACACTAAATATTTTTTTTTTTTACCATAAACAGATCCTCATTTTTATTATAGTATATTAAAAATTTGGTGCGACAGCAAAATAGCTAAATATAGCTAAATGAGATATTGGGTAATGAAATTTACAAGGCTGTGTGCAATATTTTATTATACTATTTATTAATAAAAAATGTTCCTTTTCCCAACACTTTCCCCATGTCCGCTAGACTAATGATCAAAGTTCTAGAAAGAACTTAAAGAACTTGCTAAATTCCAAGAGAAACCCAGCATATATACAGAATATTTAAAATTTTAATTAGCATCTTAACAATATGTGGGTATTCTAACGATAATAATATGGCCAAAATTGATCTTCAAAGGCTAACCAAAATTATCGAAGACGATTTATACAATTATTGAAATTGGTTCTCATCATTTCTTGGTTTACTTGATTTTTTATATTACTTTCTGTTTCTTCTCACCATCCGATTATAATTAATTAATCCTTAAAAGCTAAACCAATCACATCGTTACGATTACATATAAATTTTTTTTATTAATAAACAGTAAACCCCCTGGACCCCTGGGACCATGAGTCAATTTTAAAATTTTAATGTTACGGGAACCGATGCTAATTTGCGTGACCTAATGGATACTTTGATGATAAAAAGATTCCAAAGATATCTACTATTAAATCATGAGATCAGATTCCTCAGAAAATCAACATAAACAGCATTACAAACCAACCTGTCTAAAAATTCTTCGACGGAAAGTTCTATTATGAATGCACAATGAAATAGTAGCAATAGTATTAAATAGCACTTGATGTTTTTCTTGAAATGTTATAATAAATAGATAAATAAGTTTGAATTCGTCACAATAACTTATAAGAATTGGTTTTTGGGTAAAATATGGGAGGTAAGCTATTAAAATCACGTTACGGGTCATATGGGACCTTTGCAATAGAAAAGGGGGAAACGGCCGGAAAAATAAAAAATGAGTTAATGCTAAATCTGAACATATTTTGACCTAAAAATCATATTTGGCATATAAAAGTAAAATTGATTTTTCTGGCCGTTTCCCCCTTTTCTATTGCAAAGGTCCCATATGATTTTACTGTATTCGTTACTCGCAAAAAAGTTATTTTATTTTGTTTGAATCCTACGTTGCATTTGTGAATGGCGTTTTCTCTCATAGATAAAGTTTCGTTGATCATCCATATAAGTTATCATTATTTACATTTATTTGGTAAATTTATTATACACAATAATCAGGATCTGCGATGATTTTCCAATCATGGAATATCCGGATCGTCAATTAATAAACAAATAAACCCCGTTCAAATTTTAAAATTTACTTTTAAATAAAAATAATGCAATTTTTTTAAAACATTCATCTATGTCGATCATTTTATTATGTCATAATGCTGAATATAGTATTATTCGGAATGCAAATTCAGCTGGACAAATTGGACAAAAAATGCAGTTTTAAAGTATTTATACTCTACAATTTTGACTTTCTTTTTAAATTAAAAGAGTAACTCGATTAATAATAAATTTTAATAAATAACGAATACTCTTTAAAAAGTTTATTTTCTCAAAGAATTTATTATCTTCACCACCAGAAAGAATGAGTTTCAACACTGCTTATCAATTTCTTACTAGAATTATGGTACATAGATATATGTTAATTCCTGAAATGATTGTATTATTAGGTTTAAATTTATTAATTTTAGTAATTGGAGTTGAAAAACTTGAGTTAAAATTTCATATTGGAAGTAAATGGTTAGTAGCTACCCCAATGATTTTAACTTATTTAATAGTGCATTTGATGATGTCAATAGCAATCAGAATATCAGTGGTTAGGTTTATATCCACATACATTGGTTTAGTATGTTTATGCATTGGTATACTCGAGTTAGGTACTGGATTTGCAATAAACACAACTATAATTCCAGGTTCAAAATCTATCAAA